AATTATCTGAAGACTGTGAGAAAGACTTTTTTCATTTTTATTTCTTTTAGTCCTTATTTTTCCTGTGTATATAGTAGAAGTACTAAGTTTTGTGAGTTTATTTTATTTTGTTCTATTTACAGAAAGGTTTATTGTCAGTTGTATTAGGTACTGACTAGAATTTTTAGGGTTCCTTCATTTTTTTTTAACTATCATATGTGCAAATAAAAATACTTCTGACATCCTTTCTAATTACTATTCCCTTGATCTCATGTTGTCTTAGTGTTCCAGCTAAGACTTCAAGTATGTTGACTATGTTTGTAAACAGTGGAAAATAGTCTTTTCTTTCTGATTTTCAGAGAATTGCTTTGTGTTTCTCTCTATTAAAGTATAAACTGTTATGGACTTGCTGTTAACTGTGTTTATTTTGTTGAGCACTGTCCTTTGTTTCCTTAATCTGTCCAGAATTTTTATTGAAGTAGTATTGGCTCTGGTCAAAGTTCTTTTCTCCATCTAATAATATGATCTTTTTTGTTTTGCCCTTTTATTTAGTTTGTTTATAATTACATTTATTGGTTTTCATATATTAAACCATTTCTACCTCCTTGGGTTGTAGTATATTTGAGCAAAGTTATGATCTGTTTTATATATTTTGAATTTGATTTGAAAATATTTTGTTGATAAGTGTTGCATACATGTACATGAGAGAAATGGTTCTCCAATTCTCTCTCTCTCTCTCTCTCTCTCTCTTCTCTCCCTCCCTCCCTCCCTCCCTCCCTCCCTCCCTCCCTCTCTCTCTCTCTCTCTCTCTCTCTCTCTCTCTCTCTGCTTTTTTAAAAAAATGTTATTTGGATATTAGATTAAATGGCCTCATAGAATGAATTGGGCAATGCTTCTGTTCTTGTTGTTCAATAATTTAAAGAGTGTTGGCATGGATATTTATTTGAAATGCTGGTAGAATTCTATGCCAAACCCATCTGACCCTGGATTTCAGCTGTTGTTTTGGTTTGTGTTTTTGTTCCTTTTTTGGTTGTTTATTTGTGAGAGACTTTTCATTCTTGTTTATGTTTCATTATTGTCTGTAGGTCTGTTTAAATTGTGTTTCTCATCTGAATTTCATTTTAGTTATCTGTATGTATGGAAAAAGGTTTTCCGTTTCTTTTAGATTTTCTAATTTGGTGAAGTATAGAGTTTTAAAGTATATCCATAAGATGCTCAAATGTACTATGGATCTGTACTTACATACTATTTTGTTTTCTAATTTTGTGAATTTGAATGTTCTCTCTCTGCATTTTAATTCATTATTTAAGTATTTGACAATTTTATTAATTTTATCATGAAAATAACATTTAGTTTCATTGATTCTTCGTATTTTCTATGTTGTTGTTTGTATTTTATTGTTTTAAGCCCTGAGTTTGTATATTTCTTGCTGTCTACACCTTTTGAGTGTGATTTCTTTATTTTTTCTTTGTTTTTATTAGTAACATTTTAAAATGTTAACCAACAGCTTTGTAAGTTTGGTAATGCTCAATAACCAGATGCCCATACAATAAGAAGTGTAACCCAAAACCCAACCTAGATATACCAACTACCTTTGACTGGTGGAGACACGCTAGATCTGCTTCCATGTTCCTCTTCCTCTCTCTCGGTCTCTGTCTCTCTGTCTCTGTCTCTCTGTCTCTGTCTCTGTCTCTGTCTCTCTCTCTCCCTCATGTCCTTGTTCTTCCTTTCCTTCCCCTTCTCCTCTCCTTACTCCTCCTACCATAGCTCCTCCTACATATCACCTTTCTTGTTTAAAAAAAAAAAGCTTTTCTCTCAAAATACAATTGGAGCATAACTATACCAATTTCTATCAGTAAGGTAAAAGCTAGACCTAATACCCAGTCCATCATTTTGTTGAATAACAGGAACCTCTGTCATCTCTCCTAACTAAAAGTCTTAGTTCTGAACCTGGATTTTTTCTTGGCTTTAGAATGAATGTCAGCTGAAAATCATCCTCTCAAATCTTTTCTCTCAAAATAAATAGCCGGACTTGGCTATGAGAATATAAGTCTTCAACCATGTCAGAAATCCAGAGTGACTGAATTAACTAAAATTATGGGAAGAACAAAGCACAGCTTCTAAAACTTAGCCAATTTATAGAGACTGCTGAACACCTGGACAGTCCCTATACTACAAAATATTGGAGCATCTGATCTTCAGCTTTCTGGCCCAGGATCATCTGACATATGTAGTGATGCAGAATTATTAAAGGCTGATTACTCTGTCTTTGCAGATATAATCAGTTTAATATTGCACAAGTATGTCCTTTTCGCTACAGTAATTTGTCTGTAGATGAAAAGAGGCAATTCTTGCCTAGTGGCTGTCTCACCACAACTGGAGTAACTCCAAAGATGCTCAATTTCTTCTTAGAATCCAAGACAGGGAAGCTGTCAGGAGAAGACAGGTCTCTAATCAAAGTGAACATTAATACAGAAATGTCTGTAACATCAATTCTGTGGACTTCTGACGTTTTGAAAACCAACTATCCATGTAAAGCGATGTAAGTTAACTCCTCTCAGCTATTTGTAAATAAAATATAGAAAACACCCTAACAATAAACTCAGAGCCATGAATTTGTTATAGGCCCTTAACTCACAGGCTAACTATCTCAAATCAGTTAAAAAGAGTTAAAGGAAGGACTGAGCCTAAACCTTGTATTCCTAAATTGGCGACCAACATGGTGCTAATTCCAAGAATGAACGAGTCACTTCCAACGGGACACAATGTCTAGACTCCTGTTTTCCCAGCGCATGCCCTGCATACGCTCTCTCGCTTCTATTTTACTGTATGTCCACAGACCCTTAAAATAGAAGCCACATCGACATGCTGGCGTGTTCACACAGCCACGTGTCCCCACAATCTCTGCCCTGATGCGCTCTCCCCCACCCCCCATGGCATTTAGGGCCCAGAGCAGAGATACAGGAGTCTTACACAAACTCCCGCTGACATCTGACTAGTTCATTCCTGCCCAAACACCAAGCTTTCTGCGCCCACTACTATGACGATCTCTGCCTCCTTGAGACATCTACTCCAGACAAGAGACGTAGACAACTCCAAGACCACACGCTCCCAAAGCACACGGGACACCATCTCCCTCTGGTTAGTGGTGGACAATAAACACAAAGCCAGCTCAGAAGCTCTCTCCGCTGTTGCCTGCGAAAACCGTGAGTTACACCTCTGTCCACCCACCCTCTACCTCCTCCCTCCTTCTCGTGCTCATGGCTAATGTCTTTCCTCTAATTGTTAACTACAGTCTAACTTCCACCTAATTAAAAAAACTAAGTTTCTCTCTCCACATGTTCCCTACAAGATGGCGGAGACTGCTTAATCTCCATTCTTTACTCCTCCCCCCAAAAAATCTCCCGCACTCTGCCTGCCAAGATGTTTACCCCCACCCCCCTGCCCCCCAGAGGTCAGCCTTTCATGCTCTGTCTACTGGCTTCTCAAGACACGCTGCCTGCCGACAGAAGTTTTCCCCTCCCCTCTGACTGAGAGCTGCCTACCGCCTTCTCCCAAGAGCTGCTGACTCTAAGTGCTAGCCTCTAGGTGTCTTCCCCTCCATGGCTCAGCTTTACACAGCCTTTTACTCCTTCTGGCTCTGTTATCAAACTTCTATGTTTCTCAATTTAAACTTTTCTTCAAAGTTAGCCTTTCTTTTCTCTAAGAAAAACAAAGGGAGGAATGCCCTGGCTTCTAACAGGCCCCCTCCCCCACTGATTTTAAACCCTTAACTAATAATTTTCTCACAAACAGAGATACCTACAGCAACGTTTGTGCTTTTCAACCAAAAATTTTTCGCTTTTTGTTTAAATGTCTCCTTTTCTCTCTAATACCCATGATATATTCCCAACATTTGTTTCAACTTTTAAAATTTCTTCAAGGTTTGAAAGTCATCTAAATCTACTTTCACAGGTTAAATCAACATGCTGATCACCACCTTTCAGTTAACAACTAATTTTCCTTCACAGACAAACTGTGGATGATTACCCCAGATATTATTAACACAATGTTTTCTCCTTCAGCCATCCAATTTCCTCAAACACCTTTGGCTTTCCAGGAGTGATTTAATACCTAATATCTAGGCTTTCCAGATACCTCCTCGCTGGAGGTGCTGCTTCCCTGTGATTATATCCACAGATCCAACAGAGGAAAGCTGCCTACATCTTGTCAGACGACAGACTCCAGAGACGAGCTGATGCCGAGACGGCGCCACCTTCTGGAACCTGCTAAGCTGCCTTCTACCAGTCATCTCTTCTGACTGAAGACCAGCTGCGGATGAACTCTTGCCAAAGTCACATAGCTGAAGTGACATGTTAGTGAAGAAATCATAATGTCTATTTAGATTAATCAGATGTCATTACTCTCAAATTGTACAATATGTATTTAATTGATTCAATGATTCCTTGCTTTCCCAACCCCAACCCTCAATTCCCATTACCCTTGGCTTGATTATGCTACACCCCCCAACCTGTGTGGTGTTTTCTTTTGACTTCCTCATCCAAAATTTTGATTACAGATGACACCTCTCCTAAGAGTGGGAATTGTGGGGCAGTGAGCTGTGGAGGCCAGAAAGCCTGGTAGAAAAGTCTTAGAAGCCCTGGCACCCTCCGGGATGGGAGGTGCTTCGGACCTTCCCAAGCCATCTGACTCTCTCAGCTTCAAGCCCTCAATAATCCCTCCCACAGAGAGACTCACATGGGAGTCACTTGTCACATGACTCCACCTTCAGAGATGCCCCCCTTTTTTATAAAAGAATAGAGGGTGGGATATGGGACTGTAGAATCCTGGGTGTTCGGCCACGCCCCCAGAACCCAGAGACCTGACACGATGTCCCCTTACTAGATCACTGTAAGGCACAAGACTAACAGGTCTCTGCCTAAAGAAAAGCCCCACCCACTTCCTATATAAACAAACCCCTTCCGACATTTTTCAGGAAAGCTCACCACTCAGAGACATCTCCATGTCAATAAATCTGGATGTCAATCATTCTCACGTGTCTCTTGAAATCCTGTACTCATTGTGTAAGCCAAAACCCATGCAACAGGGCGGGAGTGGGAGAGAGCTAGTGAGCCACGAGACACTTCCTCTTGAGAGCCATGGTTTCCAGAATGTCCCCACACGCTGCGGCACTCTCGCTGAGCCACAGTGCCTGGGACGCTCCCCGCCCACTTCTGTTTGTGCCCCCCCGCGTCCCACCTGGCTCGCAGGGTCTGGGCATCTCCACTCTCAGGACTCTGCAGCCGCTTGTAGTGGAGAGTGCTGCCTCCAGTGGAGGTCACGGCTCCCAGGACTGCCCTAACATCTGCACGTGGGCGGTGCCCAACACTAAATGTGTTACATAGGCACAATGCCTATAAGAGTAACAATATTAATCTCATTTCTATATCAATAAGAAACTCGTAGCAATGAAAAACGTACATTTGAAATCAAAGTAAATTTTATACCATTTAAGAAATTATAACTTCAGCTTAATAACAATTATACAGATTTCTACCAACAGATTATGGCTATGCAATAAATTCTAGCTATTTCTCCCTGTTCCAACAAACCCACTACTTTTCCCTAGAAAGACAGCTCAATATTAACCACCTCAGTCCCCAAGCCCAGGGAATAGTTATGCTGACTCTTCATTAACTTCTTCAAGCTGATTACTGGTGTTGAGATATTAGAAGAGGGGTGGGGAGAAAAGTAAATTGAAAAGCCTCTGATGTCTGTGTCTTTACTGCATCCAACTGAAATTCCAGGACATCAGAGGTTTGGGCAGATTTGCTCAGCTTGCTTGATGAGTAGATACAACAAGGCTGTGTACTCTGTAATATACAATTCTCAAAACAAATTTTAGTATCAAGATAATTTTTTGTTTGAATTCTGTAATCTAGTCTTCTGGCGGCCTACCTCTGTCATGTCTAATTCCTATAATTCTGGGAGTTTCTATGAGGGTATGCTCCCACCATCCTTCCATTCCTGCCTCCTGCTCTCAAATTCCCCAACACTAAGGAATCCAAACTTTCAGGCACCAAGGCCCTCCACTTCCACTGATGCCTGACAAGATCACCCTCAACTACCTATACAGGTGGAGCCATAAGTCCCTCCCTTTGTGTTCTCAGGATGGAGATTTTAGTATGGCTACACAAGCTTTTTTCTTAGGACCATTTGCTTGAAAATTGTTTTCTAGCCTTTTACTCTAAGGTAGTGTCTGTCTTTGTCACTCAGGTGGGTTTTCTGTAGCATCAAAATGCTGGGTCATGTTTATGTATCTTTTTAATGGGGAATTGAGTTCATTGATGTTAAGAGATATTAAGGAACAGTGTTTGTTGCTTCCTGTTATTTTTGTTATTAGAGGTGGAATTATCTTTGTGTGGCTATCTTCTTTTGGATTTGTTGGAAGAGGATTACTTTCTTGCTCTTTCTAGGGTATAATTTCTTTCCCTGTATTGGAGCTTTCCTACTATTATCCTTTGTAATCCTGGGTTTGAGGAAAGATATTGTGTAAATTTGGTTTTATCATGGAATATCTTGGTTTCTCCACCTATGGTAATTGAGAGTTTTGCTGGCTATAGTAGCCTGGGCTGGCATTTGTGTTCTCTTAGAGTCTGTATGACATCTGTTCAGGATCTTCTTGCTTCCATTTTATCTGGTCGGAAGTCTGGTGTAATTCTGACAGGTCTGCCGCCGCCTTTGTATGTTACTTTGCCTTTTTCCCTTACTGCATTTAATATTGTTTCTTTGTTTTGTGCATTTGGTGTTTTGAATATTATGTGACAGGAGGTATTTCCTTTCTGGTCTAGTCTATTTGGCATTCTGTAGGTTTCTTGTGTGTTTATGGGGATCTCGTTCTTTAGGAAGGTTTTCTTCTGTAATTTGGTTGAAGATATTTATTGGCCCTTTAAGTTGGGAATCTTCACTCTCATCTATCCCTATTATTATTTGGTTTAGTCTTCTCATTGTGTCCTGGATTTCCTGGATGTTTTGTGTTAAGAATTTTTTGCATTTTGCATTTTGTTTGACAGTTGTATCAATACTTTCTATGATATCTTCTGCACCTGAGATTCTCTCTTCTATCTCTTGTATTCTCTTGGTGATGTTTCCTTCTTGACTCCTGATTGCTTTCCTTGGTTCTCTATCTCCAGGGTAGTCTCCCTTTGTGATTTCTTTATTGTTTCTACTTCAATTTTTATGTCCTCGATGGTTTTGTTAAATTCCTTTACCTGTTTGGTTATTTTTTCCTGTAATTCTTTAATGGATTTTTTTTTTTGTTTCCTCTTTAAGGGCTTCTACCTGTTTACCTGTATTCTCCTCAAATTCTTTGAGAGTGTTCTTTATGTCCTTCTTAATGTCCTCTATCATCATCATTAGAAGTGATTTTAAATCTGAATCTTGCTTTCCTGGTGATATGGGGAATTCAGGACTTACTAGTGTGGGAGAACTAGTATTTAATGATGCCATGTATCCTGGGTTGCTGATGCTTATGTTCTTGTGGTTGCCTTTCAACATCTGGATCTCCTTAGAGCTACCAGCACTGTCTCTGACTGAGCCTGTCTTTCCTATTATCTTGATTGTGTCAGAACTTTGTGGGGTCCTTATTACTATTGGGGTTAGAGCTGGGGCCCAAGATCTGCTAAGTACTAGGGCCCAGACCGGAAGGAACCAGTGCCCTGGGCCAGGAGTGAATTCTTGGTTCCTAGTGGCTCCCAGTTACTCCCTGTTTGGGGCAGGTGTTGCTGTCTCCTTGCCTAAGATACTGCCCAGGTTTGAGCTTCTGCGATGCCTGCTTCCTCTGAGTTTTGTGAGATTGGGTGCAGAGCTGCCACCCGGGATCTGATCAGTGCTTGGGCCCAGACCAGAAGTGATTTCTTCATTTTGTCCTTGATCTCTTGTGTCTACTATTCAGTTAATAATATGAGATTGCTCCTTTTGCTTTGTTATTTTCCCTTAATATTGGCAATCTGTACTATGAACTTTCCTTTCAAAACCACCATCGTGGTGTTCTGTAAGATTGGGTATGTGGCAAATAGATTTCCATTCAATGCTTGAACATCCATTTTATTTATTTTATTTCTTAGTTTTATTTTGAAGTATGTTTCATTCAGTAGTGACTTGCTTTTTTTCCATGACATTTTAAAATTTCTGTTGTTGATACCCGGTTTTAATCTGGAGTAGTCATAAAGTGTGCTGCTCGTAATTAAATTTGTTATTTGATTTTATTTTTTATTTTTTAGTCTGTTGAGATTTCCTTTGTCTTTGAATATGTGTTCAATTTTGTGAAACATTCTAAGAGGTGCTGAGAAGAATGTTTGTGCTTTTAATATGAGTATAATGTTCTGTACATATGTTATGTCGATTTGGTTTATAATATCAATTACCCTGATCATATCTGTATTTTGCTTTTGTCTGCATGATCTCTTTATTTTTGAGAGTGATAGACTAAACTTACCCACTATCAGTATTTGAGGGTCAGTATGTGATTTAAGCTGTAGTTGCACTTTCTTTACATACTTGGTTGTCCTTGAGATTGGTTCATACTTGTTATAACTTGAGGTGTCATGTTGAAGATTATTTCAGTATGGAATTATATAGTTTCTTCTTTATCACTTCTGATTAGTTTTCTTTTAATGTCTATTTTGTCAGATATTAAAATGGTTATACCAGCTTGCTTCTTAGGTCTGTTCTCTTAGAATGTTTTTTTCTGTCTTTCTATACTTAAGGACATCCATCCTTGAAGATAAGATGTTTTTCTAGAATGTAGCAGAAGATACCTTCTGCTTTTGCATTTATTTATTGAGCCTGTATCTTTATTGGGGCATTGAACCCATTGATCTTGAGAGATGTCAGTGTCCAGTGTTTGTTGGATTGAGGTTTATATATATCCCATTTGGACTTCGTTTCTGGGTTTATTTATTTCTTGTATTTTCTTCAGTGCTATAATCACCTTTTTGATCGGGAGTGCCCTTGTATCACCTTCTATAAATCTGGATTTGTAATTATATCTTGTTTGAATTTGGTTCTATCATGGAATGTCTTATTTTCTCCATTTAGTGTGCTTGCAAGTTTTGCTGGGTAATCTAGGCTGGCATCTATGGTCTTTCAGAGTTTGCACCATCTCTTAAGTTTGTAGCACCTTTGTTCATTCCATCAAGTTTTAGAGATTCCATCAAGTAGCCAGGTAAAATTCTAGGAAGAGAGAGAGTGGCCAGCTACATCTAGTCCTCGATTTTAGGGGGATTTCTTCAAGTTTCTCTCCATTTTGTTTGATGTTGAGTACTTGTTTGCTGTATATTGCTTTTACTATGTTTAGGTATGGGCCTTGAATTTCTGATCTTTCCAATGCTTTTACAATGAAGGAGTGTTGAATTTGTCAAATGTTTTCTCAGCATCTAATGAGATGATCATGTGGTTTTTCTTCTCTGATTCTGTTTATATAATGGATTATAGAGATGGATTTCCATATGTTTAATCAGTCTGGTGGTTCTTCAGAAAATTGGACATAGTAAGACCTGAGGACCCAGCTATACCACTCTTGGACATATACCTAAAAGACTCTCTAACATATAACAAGGACACAGGCCCCACTATGTTCATAGCAACCTTATTTATAATATCCAGAAGCTTGAAAGAACCCAGATGTCCTTCAACAGAGGAATGGATGCCTGAAGTGTGGTACATTTATACAATGGAGTACAACTCAGCTATTAAAAACAATGATTTCATGAAAATTTTAAGCAAATGGATGGAACTAGAAAATATTATCCTGAGTGAGATAACACAATCACAAAAGAAAACACATAATATCTACTCACTGATAAGTGTATATTAGCCAAAAAGCAGGTCAGAATACCCAGGATACATCTCACAGACCATATGAAATCCTAGAAGAAGAAAGAACAATGTGTGGGTGCTTTGGATCTTCTTAGAAGGGGGGAAAATAATTATGGGAACAAATATGGAGACAAAGTGTGGAGTAGAGACTGAAAGAAAGGACATCTACCTAAGGATCCATCCCATATACACTCTCCAAATGCAGACATTATCATGGACATCAAGAAGTGTATGCTAACAGAAGCCTGATACAGCTGTCTCCTGAGAGGCTCCTCCAGAACCTGACAAATACAGAAGTGGATGCTGGCAGCCAACCATTGGACTGAGCACAGGGTCCTCAATGGAGTAGTTAGAGAAAGAACTGAAGGAGCTGAAAGGGTTTGCAATCTCATAGGAAGAACTACATCAACCAACCAGAACCCCCCAGAGCTCCCAGGGACTAAACCACCATCCAAGGAGTAAACAGGGAGGTACACATGGCTCCAGCCACATATGTAGCAGAGGATGGACTTGTCAGGCATCAATGGGAGAAAAGGCCCTTGGTCCTGTGAAGGCTACATGCCCCAGTGTAGGGGAATGTGAGTACAAGGAGGTGGGAGTGAGTGGGTGGGTGGGGGAATGTCCTAAGTAAATCAGAGGGATGGGGATATGATAGGAAACCAGCAAACGGGATAACATTTTAAATGTAAATAAAGAAAATATCCAATAAAAGGGAAAATATTAATAAGTAAAAAATTAAATAAGTAATAGTTACTTTTCTACACCTTTGACCAAAATGTCAGAATTATCAGTATGATGGGAAATTTATTTTGGTTCATACTTCTTCTATGGAGTCTGGTTATACACTTGGCAGTTTTTCTGTCTCATGCAGCTTTGATCCTAGATCTATGGCAAGGGGTGGTAAAGGAATAAAGAAAGAACATTCTCACAGACAGATGTAAACCCATCTTGAATTGAAACCATTCTCTGATGCTGTTCCCACTTAAATTATGAATTTATATTTTTAGTTACAACACAGAATATAGTTGTCACTTTTGTCCATCATAGGTTTTTGTAGGTGAGGAGTCCCAAGTTGGAAATCTCTAGGATGAAAAAGTCCTAGTTGGTAATCTCTTAACACAATGATCAGTCTATCATAAAAATTAACACTCAGTCTCTTGAGGGATGCTTTGCCATTCCTTGTGTGTCAATCACAATTGTGTTTTGGCTTTCTTCATTTACCATGGGCCAATACTTTAATTTTGACAGATTAACATTTCATGTTCACATCAAAACGTATTATTGTCTACTCTGTCAGGTTAATAATGTCTCCATAAAAGAATTTTAACATATTTCTGGTTTAAGCAAACATATATGCTTAGTGATGAAACCCTAGCTAACTACTAAGAACAATTAGGGTCACAGATCATAAAGGAGAAGCATCTACTGCCACATTACTAAACCTGCATGATTTCTAACTACACTCTAAATGTTTATTCTATCATAATATAAGTATAGGTAAGCCCAAGCTGATCTAATATGTGAAATGTGATTTACAATAGATGAAAACCATTATAGAGAACTGCAACAAATTAGAAATATCAAGAACAGGAGGTACGGGGTTTCCCAGCCCTGTTTGATACATCTACAACACAGTGGCTACACATAGGCTCAGAAATCATAGTGGAAGATACATTGGAATGTGTGCAAGAGCCAGAGGAACAGGAAGCTAGCTGTGAGAATTCATCTCCTGGAAATATCAGAGAGACTACACACATGAAGTCTCATCAATGGGGCTTCCTAAGCAAGCCCTGAACAATGAGGATTCCAACATGTATGGTGACATAGAAAGGATGATTTTAATATGCCCACAACCATAGACAGAGAATTTGAGACCACCAAGGAATGCTGAGATGGGAAAAATGATCTTTCCCAGAGAAGAACCTCTCATTTTCTCATGTACTAACAACTTGTTGCCCTGAAACCTAATGTTTATTTATGTGAGTTTCTGTGTAGTTGACAGTAAAGAACTAGCACCAAGAATTTGACCGGAATGGAGATGTGAAAATTGGAGGGAAGAGAGATAAAGGGAGATGTTAAATTAGTTATAATTAAATTTCAAAAACAATAGTACATCTATAAAGTTTTGTAAGTTTGTTTTATGATAGATCCATAAACTGGAGGCCTCCAGAAGGAATACTGCAACATATAAACTCTGCATGCAAACTACATAGTCAGGTATGAGTTTAAGATTCTTGGACAGAACATCTTGTGGTTTGGGGAAGGCTGGAGGACAAGACAGGGTCAGGGTATGGAACAAGGAATAATCTAGAAAACAGAGAGGTGATTTTTTTAAAAAAATAATTTATTTTTCTCAAATCATAATTCATTCAGACAGGGGCTATAAACACAGAAAGTCAGGATGTGGGGAAGAGAATGACACTGGAGTGTGGGTGTTCAGGGGGAATACAGATATCTTTCAGAACCGGGTATTGGCTGGGTGAAGTTTCAGGGGACAAGTCACTATGACAGAGAGATGATTTTTATAGTAAACAGAAATGATTTTGTAACAAGTTGAGTACTGATAAGAGGCATCAGGCTGGTTCATTACCCAAGGAAAAATTCAATACTCTTATGTTGCTAAAAGCACATAATAATCTGGAAATAGTAATAAACTAACCCCTAGACCCTTACCTTTATACTCAGAGATTAGTTCTCTCAGCCTTCAGAGAAGCTCTTTTGGCTTTCTATGTTGAATAACACAAAGGTCAACATTTCTACAAGTTACTGACAATAAGAGACTATGACATTCCCAGAAAAGCTTATGGGGCATCTATATAAAAATTTTTCCTTCCAATACTCAGAGGTCATCATGGGAGAAGAGGCAGAAAAGGGATTAGGTACTTCATGATGGTTGATGATTTCTAGGAAACAGATTTTTCCCCAAGGCAAAACAAAGGTCTTGCACAGATGAATTAACTTGTTATGATCGTATATACCAAACTTGCCCAAGATCGACCTAGAAAAATTCCAGCTGATTGGAGTAGGTGTGGAAGTCTCATTCCTAAATGAAGGGCCAATGATCACAAACATCTGATGGAGAAAGAATCAAACTTCTTTAAGCTTTCAACCTTTGCCCTGCCGGATTATGCCACCAACCAGGCAGCATACACCAGCTGATATGAGGCTTGGGACACATATACAGCAGAAGACAGCATGCCCTAGACTCAGTGAGGGGAGAAGCACCTAACCCACCTGAGAGTTGAGATCCTGAAAGTGGGGAGGTCTAGTGGAGTCGCAGATATGGTGAGCAGTCAGGCAGCATACAGTGAAGGGGGACAAAGACTGGCCTGTAAAAATGATTTAAAATAAAAATAATAAAATAGTTTTAAAAGTTGACCAAAAAAATAAAAGATTTCAAGCTTTCAGAAACTACTCATGCTGTTGCCATAGGGACATATTAGCATCAATAGTTAGGGTTCTCTCTCTCTCTCTCTCTCTCTCTCTCTCTCTCTCTCTCTCTCTCTCTTTAAATTTGATTGTTTTAAGGAACACATGAAATTTGGAGGGAATTATGGTAGGTAGTTAAGAAAACAACAGATTTAGAAGGAAATAATAATTTATAGACATTAGTTAAACACATATGCCTGTATGAACCACTCAAACATTTTAAGTAATGAATAATGCAGATCTAAAAATAAACTATGCTGATTAGAGTTGGAAGAAATCACTGAGGACAGGAATCAAAATCATCACACAGATTTCTTTAACTTTCTTATAAGTCTGGATTGATAGTTTTTTGCACCTTCCATAAGAGACCTCTGTGTATTCAGGGATCATGAAACCACTCTTAAAAACATTTTATCCCTTTGGATAAAATCACAAGAAACTTTCTGTAAGTAGTTTTTGTTAATATACAACTAGAACTCACGGTGAAATTCAAAGTGCTCACCTGGCTTCTTGCCAATGCAGGAAAGTTCATTAAGCACACCCAGAGTCATTAATAAGCAACTGTATAAGAAAGTTGCTTAAACCTGAGGTCACTGACTCTGTGATTAGATCTCCCTCCAGAGCTGAATTTTTCATTTCATCCTCCTTGTCAGTGACATCACAGGCTTTGGGAGATGGAATCATCTATTTAATTTTCCAGTTGTTATTTAACATAAATGCTTTAGAGAAAGTTTCTTGTAAATTTATCCAAAGGGATATGATGTTGTTAATAGCATTTTCATGATCCCTGAATGCTCACCAGGACTCTTAAGGAAGGTGCAAAAATATTTGAGTGTAAACTCATGAGAAAGTTCAAGAAGTGACTGTAACTGTTTGGTTGGATTCCTGTTTTCACTGCTTTCTTCCAACACTAATCAATATAATTTATTTTTAGATTCCATTCTCTTTTACTAAAAGTGTTTGAGTGGTTCATACAGACATATGTGTTTTACTCAAGTCTATAAATGTTTATTCCCTTCTAATTCTGTTCTTTTCTCAACTATCCATACCAATTCCCTCCAAATTTCATTAAATTGGGGTAATTGGACAATTGTGGCATAAAATAGATTAAAGATGATCTATATATCTCTATATTTTTCTATACCCATTTCTCTCTCTCTCTTCCCCTCTCTCTCTCTCTCTCTCTCTCTCTCTCTCTCTCTCTCTCTCTGTCTTTCTCTCTCTGTCTCTCTCTCTCTCATATATATATATGCTCTCTCATATAATTTCTATTTCCCTTTTTGTTGTGTATAGAACAAATCATATTGATTTAACATGGTGACTCTAACACTATAGACATTCCCTGAGATTGGACTTGCCCAAGGTTCTGAATTGCTCCTTTAGACTCACAGTGTCATGTTATTATTTTTAAGTTCTTCACATCAAAATGACTTTAACTGTACAAAGTTACTCACCATAATTAGGCTTCCTCATCCCAGATATATAGAGAGAATTCAACATATACTCACTAATAAATATATTTTCATCATGTGTATGGACACAAAAACTGAAACTACAACACTATCATTGGATACCGGAAAAGGTTTTGATAATTGCTGTCAACAATATATCATAAAACTCATGGATATGAAAAGAATAAAGGGATTATACTTGAGCTTACTGAAGATTACATGTACCACACTTAAGCCAACCTAATGGTAAATGGGGAGAAATCTCAAAGCATTCCACTACAATGAGGAAGAAGACAAGATGTTCTAGTCTCTAAACTTCTACTCAACAAATGATTTAAGTGAAACGCATAAGCTAAGAAAGTCAAACAAGAGAGTGAAATAAAGAAATGCAAATCAGAAAAGAAGTCAAAGTATCTCTATTTGCACATAATTTGATTAAAGTGATTCTAGCATAAAAGATTTCCCAAAATTTCCACTCAACACTGTTAGTGATGTTAATTACACCAAGTATTTATAAATTATCAAACATATTATTACTTATGTTATATATCAGTGATGACTGTGTGAGAGAGAGAGATAAAGAGAGAGAGAAAATAGAGAGATTAGAGGAGAGCATGAGATACAAAGACCTCTGTGTGTGTGTGTGTGTGTGTGTGTGTGTAATAGTGAGGACATCTAATATGTGACATGCATATTTCTTGTAGCTATGTGTATAACTTTAAAAATAGCATTCAAGCTCTTGTGTTGGCCTTTATAACTGGTAGAGCAGAGGAAGGCAAGACTTTTCTTGCTTCAGGAAAACCTATCTTTGACAACACAAAACAGAACAAGTCCCAGAGACTTAGGGAGTCCCAGAGACCTGGGAAGGGAGATATTGCCAGGAATAAGTGTGGGTGAACTTTGCTCAGATGCCCAGCAGTACAGATATGGAAACTGAAGCGACCCCTCCCATAGTCAGATAGGAGCCACAGATAAGGGATGGGGATACAAATGCATTTAAACATTTTTGACTCAACATTGCTGCTGTTGAATAGCAATGCATAGATAAAAATGGAGCCTAGACTGAAGAAATGGCTGACAAGCGATTGTCTCAGCTTGGGATTCATTCCATGGGTGAGCACTATTATTAATACTATAGTGTGCTTGCAGACATGAGCCTAGTATGTCCATCCTTTGAGAGGATCTACAAAGCAGCTGACTGAACAGATGCAAATATCTACAGCCAAGCTTTAGACAGAGGTTGGGGATCTCAATGGAAGACATACAGGACAGACTGGGGAGCTGAAGAGGATTGTTGACCACAGGAAGACCAGCAGTGTTTAACAACCTGGACCCCTGGGAGCTTCCAGAGACTGAGATACTAACCAAAGAGTATATATGAACTCTTCAGAGATCCTTGACACATGTGAACCAGAGGGCTGCCTTGTCAGGCTTCAGTGGAAGAGGTTTCTTCAGAGTGTTGACACACCAGAATGACAGGATGTAGTAAGGGTCGCTCTTTAGAGGCAAAGGGAAGTGTGGATGAGGTTAGAAGTCTTCATATGGTGTAAATATAAATAACTAATAACTAAAAAATTAAATAAATAAGTAAGGAATAATTACTTTCCTACACCTTTGATGAAAAAATCAGAATGAACAACTTGATGGGAAATTTATTTTGGCTCATATTCCTTCTATGGAGCCAGTTTTGCACTTGGCAGTTTTTTCTGTCTCATGTAGCTTTGGTACTAGATTAATGGTAAGGATGGTGAAGGAATGAAGAAAGGAGATTTTCAGAGACACACATAAATGCATATTGAATTAGTGGTGTACTCTGATACTGCTGCCACTGAAACTACACTTTTGTCCATAGCAGCATTTTTTGTTGGTGAGGAGTCTCAGGTTGTAAATATCTAGGTTAATGAAGCCCCAGTTGGTAGCATCTAAACACAATGATCAGTCATTCATAAAAACTCACACTCAGTCTCCCAAGGAAAGCTTTGCTATTACATGTGTATCAGTCACAAATGTGTTATGGCTTCACTAGATTTCCATGAGCCATTTTTTCTTTTCTTCTCTTTTCTTTTTTCTTTCCTTTCCTGACTTTTTTCATTTTTCTGTTTTTGGACAGGTTAATAGGTGATATCCAAATTGAAATACATTTCTGTCTAGTCTTACTGTCAGGTTAATAAGGACTGCATAAAAAGAATTTAAAATTATTTCTGATTTAGGCAGAAATATATTCGTAGTGCTAAAACCTTAGGTAACTACTCAGAATGATTGGGGTGATAGATCATAAAGGAGAATCATCTCTTGCCATGTTACCAAAACAGCATGATGCCTCACTACACTCTAAATGTTTATCCTATCATACAGATAAGTGTAGGTAGTCCCCAGCACATCATACATGTAAAACTTGATTTTCTATAGTGAAAGATAAGTTGGAATTCTTGCAAAATCCAGAGGAACAGGAGGCTAGCTGTGAAAATGCTTCTGGAAATGTCAGAGAGACTATACACATGAATTCTCATAAATGGGCCTTCCTAAATAAGACCTGAAGAAGGATGATCCTGACAAATACAATAACATAGAAAGGATAAATATCATTTGGCTACAATCATAGATAGAATTAGAGACAAATAATGAATGTTGAGATTGGGAGAAATAGTCTTGCACAGAGAAGAACCTGTCAGTTGGTCATCTACTACGAACTTGTTAGTCCTGACATCTAATGTGTATGTATATGTGTTTCTGTGTATGTGACTGTAGTTAAAGAAATAGAATGGCAAATTTGAGAGAAATGGAGATGTGTACATTGGTAGGAAGAAAGAAAAGGGGGACATTAATGTAGTTATAACTAAATTTCAAAAATAATAATATATTTTAAAATTTTTTTGCAATTTTGTTGTATGAAAAAACCATAAATTTGAGGATTATAGAAGAAATATTGCAAAGTACAAACTTGGCAGGCAAACTACATAATCAGATAACAGTTTAAGAATCAGAATCTTGTGGTTTGGGGAATGCTGGAGGTCAAGACAGAGTCGGGGTCTGGAACAATTCATATTCTAGGAAAGAGAGAGATGATTTTTGTAGTAAACTGGAATGATGTTATCTAGTAACAAAATGAGGATTTGTCAAAAGAGACATCAGGCTGGTTCATCACACAGCGAAAACCTTAATACAATCATTCTGATAAAAGGACATAGCAATAAACTGGAAATAGTAATAAACTCGCTGCTACATTCTCACATACTCACATTCTCACATACATACTCAGAGATTTGTACTTCTCTGAGTCCTCATTAGAGAAACGTTTTTGGCATTCTATTGTGACTAACACAAAGATCAACTTTCATTCAAGAGGATGAGAATAAGAGACTCTGAAATACCAAGAAAAAATATGAGACATCTATACAAAAACCCTTCCTTCTAAAACATGGGGAGTCAACATGGAAAAAGAGGCAGAA